TCGCTTTTTCTTCTTCTTCTTCTTCTTCTTCTTCTCCGATTTTGCTCACCCTATCGATGGAAGTGCTCTCTCTCTCTCTCTCTCTCTCTCTCTCTCTCTCTCTCTCTCTCTCTCTCTCTCTCTCTATCTATCTATCTATCTATCTATCTATCTATCTATCTATCTATATATCTATCTATCTATATATTTCTCTCTCTTCCATGGACGCCAACATCCACCGTCCTCTCTTATCCCGCAAGTCTTATTTTTTACCTCTTTCTTCTCCTTCTTGGACTTCCCCTGTCAGTTGTTGAATTGTGAGGGATCGAACGGTGAAAGGACTCTGATCTCACTTGGTGGAAGGAGTGAGCAAGGGGAGGGTTGTCGGTTCCTTGTATCACCAAGAAGGAAAAGGAAGAAAAATACTTGAGGGTTTGAGAGGTTGTGAGCGCAAAGTGCTTGAGGGCTTGAAGGTTGACAAGTCCAAAAGGGATTAGAGAGAAGTGTTGAGCGAAAGCATGGTCAGTTGACTCAACCAGAACCCCGACTGCATGACTTCAAGAAGAGGATGGCGAGGATAATGGAAGAAACTGAGAAGGAAGGAACCTGAGGACAACGAGAATCAGGCATGCTGGAGGGATTATGTCTTGATCCCAAATAGGGATTGTATTTGTCTGCATTGTATTGAGTGTGCAGGTGAGTAGTTCTTAAAGATGCTTTGAGTTGGAGTGTGCCCCGATAGGCCGGGTGACAAAAAAAAAGAGGGACAAAAGCTAAGCAGGTTGTGAACGAAACCCTCGCTCATGAATGAGTCATTTTGTGCATGCAGCTCCGATTGTGAATGAAAAATGTGGTATGTATAGTTGAGTCTGCAAAGCGTCGGATGGTCGAGGAGGCCACCAACTTGAAGTCATATGAGCATATGGGTGCGAGCAGCGAAAATACTAAGGAGTGAATAAGAAAATGACAATCATGATGCATGATGTGTCAAATAGGGAAGGTTAGTGCGTAGACCGGTTAAGAGGAATAAGGGTGTCCCCTACCTCAACTTGAATGAAGTCGAAGGACCATTGCGTTAGAGAATGGATGCGCGACCCAAGGAGGACGTTTGGTCTGTGCATAAGAGAATGTAAATTCTCAAAGGACCCCTGGACTGCTTGAGTATTCGAAAAAGCAATTGCTTGCAAACATAATAAAGTATCGAGGAAATGACGCTTGGGAGAAATCAGTAAAACTACCCACATAGCGAGAAAGTTGAGCTACATCCCCAATGTCAAAGCTCTCTCACTCTTTGGCCCACCCCCATCCATCTCAAAGCACTAGGTGGGGGTGACCCTGTGACACATGGCTCCGCGCCCTGAGCATGAGTGCGGGCAGAGCCGAGCCAACTGGAACCCGCAGAAGGGTCGACTCAGGCTCGAAAGTCTAACAAGGTGAAGCCCTACACCGTAATACAGATCACAATGGGGGAGGGAAGGAAAGAGTTAGCGACGATCCTCGCGCATACACGCGGCGCCAGGATCGGCAAGGTCGGGGCAGGGAGACAAATCCAACACACTTATGCAGTCATGCAGAAGGTCGATACCCATTGTTCCCAAGAGTTGCACCTGTGAGCACCCACTCATATACTCATTCATCTATCTTGGACCGTGAGACATTCAACATCTATAGATTCTCGTACCACTCAACATGCATTTAACGGAATACACATACCTCGTGACATTCCACTCATCCCGCTTGGACAAAGCAACAATGAAGATAAAAACGAGTCCCTCACTATTCCAAATTCTATACATAGCTGACCTCCCTCAGGCGCAGCCCCAAATTAATCCGAATGCCAACCAACCATAACCACAAGACCCTGCTGGCGACGACATTCGATCACCACCACCGCTTCGTCACTCCGACTGTCTTACCCCAAGTTTACCGCTAATTCCGCCCCTAGTCGTCCCTCCGCCTGTCACTGGGCACGTCGAGCCCGTTCGATGCTGCAGACTTTGCGCATAGCTCGCGCAGCATTGCAGTCAAGATCAAAGAGGAGGAGAGAAAGGGACTTCGAGAATTTATAGCACGGAAGGCGGCAGGGTGCGAGCGTGAAGTGCGGGTAGCAAGGGGTGTAGATGAGTAGGACAGAAGAAAGGCCGGGGTTCTAGGAGGATCGAAAAGAGGCGAGTCAAAAGTTACGTGTGATTGGGGAGATCGTTCAAGTGGTGCACGCTTCCCGCTTTCACCACATTGATCCGATCGTCCCAACTACACATCCAATCACTCACGATGATAGGTAAGGAAAGGATTGGACGCCCTCTTGTGGGAATACAAAGAGACATGCCAAAGGGAGCACGCAACAAGAAGGGAAGATGGTGCGGACATGCAAAGTGAGGAACGAGTTTACGTGACGTGCAAGAAATTTGAAAAACAGTCGCGCACACATTATTATGCAAGAAATTAAGATTTTCGTTACACTAATTCCTAACCGTTTCTTGGATTTCTTAGCGTGGTCGCTAACTGACCACGTGGAAAAGTCATCAGGGGCAGTAATGAAAAATACAAATTTCTTTTCCATCTCCTCCCCTCCCCCACAAAAGAAAAAAAAAGGAAAATAGACCCCTCTTTTCTCGATCAACCCGAATCTGTACTTAGAGGCTTACGTCGGATTTTCCTCCCTAATGGTACGGAAAAGCCGCTGAGTACGGATCCTGGCTTATCACAAGTGTGCGACGTACTTCATCTCGCGGTCGTTAACCATTTTTTAGTGAAATGATGGAAGAGTGTGCCTTGGCATACGTTTAACACTTCGAGTTGATCATGAAATGGAGGTTGTTTTTGCTCTTTTGTAATAATAAAAAAAACATCGTTTGCCGAGGGAGACAAATCGTTCACTTTTTCTTTTTTCATTCAAGCAGACTCTTTATCTATCTCAAGCAAGGGAGGAGGTAGAGACTGGTGGTGAAAAGTGACTGTGGCTATAGGGACTTGATGGTGGTGTTGGGGTGATGACGATACACGTCTCCATCTGCAATAACCTCTTGGTGTCACATATCAATATATTAGGAGTTGTTGTTTGGGTGAAAAGAAATCAAACGAGTCTTCAGTCAAGAAAAAAAAAAAAAATCATTGGCCCAGCTCAGTTGTTTAGAAATGCAGGTGACATTCAGGAGGTTGTGGGCTCGAGCCTCATGACCGCCTGCCAACTAGCTGTGATAGTCTGCTTAGTACCTTTGACCAGTATTAATAGGGTTTTCAACCAAAATGGGTGTGTGTGGGCGTGAGTGGAGTGTGTGCGGTGTGTGGGAGAGTGTTGGCCTTAGACACTACTGCTACTTTACGAGGGTTAGAGGACTATAAAAAAGAGATGTGCAACTACTGGCAGAATGCTTGGTCTTTGCGTTAGCCAGACCCCCATTGGCAGCCCCAAGGGCAAGGGGCAACATGCAATATGATAATATCCCCTTCACCGTGAGAGGGAGCTATACTTGCAGGGTTCCCCTCTATATAGCCTTTGGAGTATGTAGGTAGTGAAGGGGAAAGAATTTGAAAGAAGAACATAGTGTAGTTCAGGGTTGTCGGGCCGAACGTACGGAGACCACTAAGGTGACCCCCGAACGTTCGGGAGTTCGGGTCCCCGTACGGGTCCCAACCTTAAGGGGGTTGGACCCCGCAAAAACTTATTGTGACATCGAAATATTATTATTTTTTTCTGAATATTTTTTTTTTAGTTTTTTGTGATGTAAGGTATCTCCCTCTTAACTTTGAAGCCATCCTGTTAAGCCAAAAAACATTAAAAATCAGCAAAGATGGGGGTGTCAAAACTTATTTACCCAATCACTAATTTATTTTT